TTTTGAACAAAACCCCATTTTTTAGGTTTATTTTTTAGGACAAAAAAAAACCAAAACCCTCCCCCGGTGCAAGCGGAGCTGCCAAAAATTTTGAGCATCCGCATCCCCCCCCGGCATCAGCAGGGTCCGGCACCCGCGTGGGCTGATTTTTGGGGTGGATTTGGGTAGAAAAGGGATTATTTTTTTTTTTGCTGCTGCTGCTGCTTACTCCCCGAAGTAAATCTTTCCCTCCTCATCCTCACAGAGAGTTTCCAAGCCGGAGGGCAGCTCCCCGAAACGCTTCAGCTCCGACTCATCCACCTTTTTGGGGCCGTCCTCTCCGGATCCAAGGTAGCGTTGGGAAGGGGATGGGGGAGGACTTGGGATCATCACCCAAGTGATAAACCCCGAAGCTTTATTTATTCCGAGCGAGAGAAACGCTGGAATTAAACCACTTAATTTTCCAGAGCCTTTCAAAATCGTATTTAAAATTCCAGCCCTAAATTCAGTGGGTTTACCTTAAAAAAAAAAACCCCTAAATTAAAGAGGGGTTCGAGTTGAAGCTGCTGGTTCGCCACCGGTTCATCATGGCAGATGAGAACTTCTTGGCTGAATAAATTTGAGCAGAAGTAGGTTTTAATTAACCCAATGCTTAAAAATCGGGATTTAATTAATAGCTCCGAAATTAGCTTTAAATGAATTTGCACGCACCCGGGAGTGGGGTGCAGTGAGATAAAGGGTAAAACCCGCAGCGCTGGAGACGTCGGGCTCGGCATGAATAGCTTAAATAAAGGATTTTATATCGCGATAGGCGACGTAAAAGCCCGTCTCTCCCCATCGTCCCAACAGCCCAACGCCCTGCGGGCCATCACGCCGGCGGCGGTGGAGGTGCTGCTGGGGGTGCTGCAGCGGGGAGGCGGGGGGACCCCCCTGGTCCCCGGGCTGCTGAAGCTGGCCTTACGCGGCGTGGTGGCCGTGGTCCACGTGCTGCACGGCAGCAGTCCCGGCGCCGGCCCCGTGCCGTTGCGCGTCCTCCTGGACGGTTACTTCAGGGTGCTCAATTCGGACCTGCCCGTCGCTTCCTTGGCGCCGGAGGCGGCCGGTGGCCTCATCACTCTCCGCGTCCTCATGCTGGGTAGGTGGTTGGGGACGGGGATGGGGATGGGGACGCGGGATGGGTGCTGAGCCACCTCCACCCGGCCGTAGATGCCATCCCGGCCATGCTGAGCTGTGAGGACCGGCCGGTCCTACAAGCCGTCTTTCTCAGCAACAACTGCTTCGAGCACATCATCCGCCTCCTCCAAAACAGCAAGGTACCAGGGTGGCCACGTTGGTGTCCCCCCTTGATGACACCAGGGTTGGGCACCCTCAGCTCCATCCTCACCCTTCCTGGCTCTGAACGATGCCAGGACGGGGCGGCTGCGCTGCAGCAGCATCCCTGGGGTGGGGACACTCCATAACCCCCTTCCCTCTTCCCCCCACCCCGAACCGGGTGCTTCTCCCCGGGGCTGATGCCCACCCCGTGTCCCACAGCTCTACCTCAGCAACTCACGGGAGGCGGGCGAAGCCCAGGACGAGGTCCCTGCGCGGCCGCCAGACGCGGGGCTCCAGCAGGTACCGTGTGGGGCCACCCCATAACCAAACCCCCCAACCTCAGCAGACCCACCACCCCCCACCCCCCATGTCTCCGTAGGTCTTTGACGGCAGCTCCGACGCCATCGCAGTCCACGCGCTCGGGGTGCTCACCGCCATCATGAGCAACTCGCCCTCGGCCAAGGTGCCACCCCATAACCAAACCACCAGGCGTGGTGGGTTCTGTCCCCCCAACCCCGTGACTCAGCAGACCCACCACCCCCATGTCTCCGTAGGTCTTTGACGGCAGCTCCGACGCCATCGCAGTCCACGCTATCGGGGTGCTCACCGCCATCATGAGCAACTCGCCCTCGGCCAAGGTAGGCAGTGGACCAGGGTGGGGGAGACACCCCAAAAATGGCTGGGTTTGGGGGTTTTCATGCTGTGAGGTTGGGTTGGGGTGAAAGCAGCACGTGGTGGGGCTCAGTGCAGGGTCCCACATGCCCGGGTGCTTGCAGGAGGTGTTCAAGGAGCGCATTGGCTATGCCCACCTCTACGAGGTCTTGAGGAGCCAGGGCCAGCCCACCCAACGTCTGCTCCAGGAGCTCCTCAACATGGTGAGCATGCCCGCTTCTCCTTCACGCCGAGCAAAGCCCTCGATGCTGGTGGTTCGTGGTGGAACTCAGCCCCCAGCAGCCCCGTTCCTCGTCCCCCAGTCCTCTCCACCCTGCTAGTTTCCCATCGGCTTCCTCCCGAGGGGTCCTGGGGCCATCTTTAGCTTGGAGTCATGCTCAGCTTTGGGGAGATTTGAGTCCTTTCTGATGTGGTAGTGCTTGCTCTGCTACTGCTGGATGTGCCAACATCTCCAAAATGCCTGATGCACAGGGTCTCCAAGGCGCTTGACACGTGGGGGTCTCTGACATGCTTCATGCATGGGGCTCTCCAGGGCGCTTGATGCACAGCGGTCTCTGAAATGTTTGATGCGTGGGGGTCTCCAAGATGCTTGATGCACAAGGGTCACCAAAATGCTTGATGCACAGGGGTTCCCCAAGACGCTTGATGCATGGGGGTCTCCAAGACTTTTGGTGCACGGGGTCTCCAAGACGCTCGATGCACCAGGGTCTCTGATAGGCTTGATGCACGGGAGTCTCCAAAGCGCTTGATGCACAGGGTCTCTACCACCAGCCCGGGGTGACCAGGGGGAGGATCTGTCCCTCTCCGCAGGGTCAGGGCTGCACCGACCAGCTCTCGTGTTTCGGCAGGCAGTGGAAGGCGACCACAGCTCCTTCCCAGTTCGCCCCATCCGCAACGAGCAACCCCTGCTCATCCTGCTGGCCTGGCTGCCGGTGTTGGCGTGCCGGGAGCTGCAGGTCTTCCTCTCGGGCCAGCTGCGGCGGCTCTGCGAAGCCTCCCTGCCCAGCCGCCTCACCTGCGTCAAGGCGGGCATGGTGGGCTGCCTGCTGGGTGCCCTGGCCACCGAGCCGGCGCTGCCGGCTGCCTGCTCCGAAAATTTACTGGAACTGCTGCGGGCGTTGGGCAGCCTCTCCATCCGCCCCGGGGAGCTGCGGCAGCTGCTGCGGCTGCTGCGGCACGAGCGGGGTCGGGGACCGCATCCCTACACGGCACCCGTCATCCGGGCGCTCTCGGGGATGGCGTGGGTCGAGGGACCTCCCCGGGCGCTGCAGTGCTTCGACCTGACGCCCGGCATGGCGGGTATCATGGTGCCTACCGTCCAGAAGTGGCCCGGCGGTGCCTTCGCCTTCCACGCCTGGTTGTGCCTAAGCGAGGAGGAGCCCGAGCCACCGGCGAGGCCGAAGAGGAGGCAGCTCTACAGGTAATACTCAGGGGAGGGACAGGGGGAGCTGAGGTGAGGATGAGGAGGGGCAGCACCACCATCCCCACCATGCTTCTCCTCCACCAGCTTCTTCACGGCCGGCGGGACAGGCTTTGAGGCGTTCTTCACCGCTGGCGGCGTGTTGGTGGTGGCCGTCTGCACCAAGAAGGACTACATGACGGTGGCATTGCCAGAGTTTGCATTCAACGACTCAGCTTGGGTGAGCATCATCCCCATCCCCGTCCCCATCGCGGGGGGCAACGAGGACACCAGGATGCCTGACGCCCCCTCCCTGTCCCCCCAGCACTGCGTTGACATTGTCCACGTCACCGGCCGCCGGCCATTCGGCCAGAACATCGTCAGCATCTACACCGATGGGCACCTGCGGAAGACAGCGCAGCTCCGCTTCCCCTCCCTCCATGAGGTGGGGGACCCCCCCGGCGCCCAGCCGGACCCCTCCCCGTGGCATGGGGCTGGGGGCTGAGCGCGACTCCTTATCCCTTCCAGTCCTTCACCTCCTGCTGCATCGGCTCCGCGGGCCACCAGACCGCCACCACCACCAGCCACCTGCCAGCGTCCCACGGGCCGGAGCTGGTCTTCCCCCCACGCCCCGCACTCGGCCGCTCCCAGTCCATCCCCGCTGCCCTGGGCCCCCACGCTTGGACCCCCACTCAGCCCCCCACGGAGGGGGTAGTGGCCACCACAGCGGCCGGCAGCCAGGACACCGAGTGGGGCAGCCCCACCTCCCTGGAGGGTCACCTTGGCTCCGTGGCCATCTTCTGTGAGGCTCTGCAGCAAGCCCAGGTCAAGGCGCTCTTCTGCGCGGGTACGTCAGGGTGGGACACGGGAGATGTCTGCAGGGGTGCTGGGGGCAACCGGGGTCTCCTCCACCGTGTCCCAGCTTACCCCAATCCTCTTCCCCTAGGGCCAAACGTCACCTCACCGTTTACACTGGAAGGTGACTTGGTGGAGCTCAGCAGCAAGCTCTTGCTGTACTACACCCCACAGGTGAGGAGAGCCACCCCTCTGGGGATGGGGACAGCACTGGTAGACCCTCTGCCATAGGTGACATCTCCAGGAGCATGAAGGTGCTCCCATGGTGCTCTCTTCTAGGCCTGCAGGAACAACATCTGCCTGGACCTCTCTCCCAGCCACGGCTTGGACGGGAGGCTAACGGGGCACAAGGTGGTCAACTGGGACATCAAGGTACGCTGGGCGCAGGGTGGTCCATCCTGGTCCATCCGCCCTGTGGCGTGGAGGCAGCTGGGCCCCTCCTGGGGTATGGGGCAGGGGCAGGACCCTCAAGGGGTGTTGGATGGCCATGGTGGTTCCCCTGGACCCTACCGGGACTCTGCTACATAGTATTGGGTCCACCAAGGACCTGCCTGACCCATGGGTCCCCTAAGGGACCTGTCTGCCCCATAGGTCCTCAGCCTCCACGGTGGGCACTATGGGTGGTGCAGGGGAACAGGTGCTTTTTGGGGACATGTTTTAGGTTTGTGCTGTAGGATGGGTGAGGGCACACCCCGATCTTCGCTAGCCACAGGGCCTGGCTCTCCCCGGCTTGGGCTGAGCCCGTGAGCAGGCAGGACAGACCCCGGGTGCACGTGCAACCTCCTCCTCTACGCTGCTGTCACCACGCAGCACCCAGCAAAGCCTCTCGCCTCCCTCCGGCAGGACGTGGTCAACTGCGTGGGTGGGATGGGTGTGCTGCTGCCCCTGCTCGAGCAAGTGGTGTCCAAGAAGGAGGAGCCCGAGGATGAGCAGGAGACCAATGACCTGGTGGGGCCAGAGCTGACGTCCTCCAGGAACGCCCAGGGCATGCTCATCCCACTGGGCAAGTCCTCAGGTGAGGACCTCGGGGGACGTGGAGTGGGAGCCGTCCTGCTCGGGTGGCTGTAGATAACCCCGCTGCCACGTGGGTGCTGCCTGGAGCGGGCTGGTGTCTACCATGGGCATGAGAGGTCTTGCCTGGGGCACCAAGAGTTATGGGGTAATGGAGAAACCATTGACATCTTTTAATGTTGTTATGACCTAATTAGTCGTAAACAAGGAGTTCTGGGAAGATGAGGGTGGCTCCAGCCTGCTTACCTCTGGCTTGCCTTTGTGTGGAGTCTCTGGTGTCTTACAGTAGGGCTGGGTTCATGCAGGAGCCTTCTCCTGCATAGGTGAAACGGGCTTTCTCCCAGTACCCAGCTGCTTATTTCCAAGAAGCTCAGAACAACAGAGGTTTCCACTTGCTTAAATTCGGGCGAAATAGGGGAACAGGCTGAAAAGTTTGTAGAGAAGAGTTTGCGGTGGGGTCTCCAGGATGCCCTTTGAAGGTGCTCGCAGCTACCGGCAGGCTCTGCCCCATGCCTTGCAGAGAGCAGGCTGGAGAGGAACAGCGTGGCCGCCTTCCTGCTGCTGGTGAAGAACTTCATCCAGAACCATCCGGTGAACCAGGAGAGCCTGGTGCAGTGCCACGGGCCGGCCATCATCGGGGCGCTGCTGCAGAAGGTGTGGGGGGCTACCAAAGGCTCCATCCCACGGTCCCCGGGGCCGTTCCCCAAGGGCGACGCCGGGGCTGCAAGCCTCCCCTCTCGCCCACGGCAGGTCTCCGGTCCGCTGCTGGACATGAGCACGTTGATGGCCTCGCAGATCCTCATGGAGCAGGTGGCATCTGAGGGCAGCGGGCTCCTGCTGCACCTCCTCTACCAGCATCTCCTTTTCGACTTCCGCATCTGGAGCAACAGCGACTTCGCCGTCCGCTTAGGTGGGAACTGGGGGTGCTTGGGGGTGTTCTTCATCCCAACTGGCCTCCATGGCTACTCACACCTTCTCCCTGCAGGTCATATCCAGTATCTGGCCAACGTTGTCAAGGACCACAAGCAGCGCATCTGCAAGAAGTATGGGGTGCAGTACATCCTCGACTCCATCCGGACGTACTATGGGTGAGCTGCCACTTGTAGCCAGGACCCCCCCCAGTGCTGACGTGGTGGTGGGCTTCACCCCTTGGAGCTGCGGTTTGGGCTAGACACCATTTGCTTGGGGCAATATCCCCACTGCAAGCACCTCATGGGATAATCTTCTGGTGTGAGAGCGTGGTGGTGGGTGCAGGACCTTCCCCTCCCCATGGCCGTGCCCCATCCCCAAGCCTCCACCCAAAGCTGTGCCCAGTCAGCCCCAAAATCCACCCCCAGTGTCTCTCCAGCAGCAGCCAAGAGCATGGTGGTTCCTGCAACAAGCTGATGCCCTTTTCTTGTCTGATCTGATGCGTTTCTGCACGCCCGTGACACTGGGGCTGCTCGCACCCTGCAGAGATCCAAATGCGTGGGGTGGACATTTCCCGGTGGGCAGAGTTGGCCAGAAGGGATGTCCACACCAGGCTGCCCCGGGGCTCCTCAGGCTTCATGGTGGGATTTGGGATCATGCTGGCAATGGGTGACAAGGTGCAGGAGGGTGGTTGTGCACATCCCTAGAGGGAATGCCCATGCATGTCTGTCCATCAGCACCTCCAGGGAGAAGACCACAGCCATCGACGACATCAAGACAGTGCAGATGTCCCTCTTCAGCTTGGTGAAGGATTTCTTCTGCAGGAGCTTCTCTGGGGAGGAGATGCAGAGCTTGCTGAGCTACATGGCCGGGGTGCAGGACGAGCAGCAGGTACGGCACCGAGCCACCCTGGTCCCCAAAGACCTCAGTGTGCCATGGGCTGGCCTGACGCTTGGCAGCAGGTGGGGAGAAGCCGCTGAGGTCCCGGAGGGGTACATGGAGGGCAGTGGACAACCAGCCCCATGTCCTGCAGGTCTGCGGGGCGCTGGAGGTGATCCACAGCTTGCTGAAGGGCTCGCCTGCCCAGGAGCAGCTCTTCGCCTTCCTCTTTGAGCCGGGCCACGTGGAGGTCCTCTTCTCGCTGCTGGTGCAGAAGAAGTTCTCAGATGAAGTGCGGGAGAGGGTCTTCAAGGTAAGGCAGGTCCCCAGCACCAGCCTCTTGCCATCCCCAGCGGCCGGGGGCTTTGCCACAGCGGGGTGGCCACCTCTCTCTGTCTCACCAGGTCCTCTACAAGATGCTGAAGTACGAGAAGGTCCCTGAGCGCAGCAAGAACCGCCTGAAGCTGAAGGACATCGGGTACCAGGGGCTCATCACCTGCCTCAGCGATGTCCCCGGCTCCATGCTGCTCTTCCGCTGCCTCTCGGAGCAGGTCCTCGGGGCAGGTACCGCGTGCCCTGCCGAAACCAGGCTGGCCCTGGCCACCCATCCCAAATGCGTGCCATGGGGTCATCACTGGTGGCTTCCCACAAGGCTCAGCCGGTCTTGGGTCTGGGGGTCTTTGGTGGCTTTTGGGGACAGAAGGACCTGTCCCACCACCGTGCTCTCTCTCCTTGTCCACAGACCCCCCCAACTACAAGGACCTGGTGGCCGTGGTTTACCTGTCCCACCGGGCCGAGCTGACCGTCCGGCTCGATATCTGCCGCAAGGTGAGCGGGGCCATGGGCACAAGGGGCTGTGACCGAGCAGTCGCCCTGGGCCTGAGCTTGCCGGAGCCACCCACGGGCACCCGGCCATGCCCAAACGCGGGGGCCATGGGGATGGTGGTAACACCCCATGCACAGGGCTGCTGGCACGTGGACGTGCCAGCATGGAGGTGGTGCAACCCCAGCACTCCATGATGGTTATGGAGGATCTGGGGTGCTCAAGCATCCTGCCCCTCGGAGGGGACAACCTCCCAAGAGGCTACCAGGAGCTGGGGCAACATCATCGGGTCTCCCCCCGGCTTTCTCTTGCAGCTCTTCCACTTGATCTACGCGCAGCAGGACATGGTGAAGCAGCTGGCGAGGTTGGCCAGCTGGCAGGACACGCTCACCAAGCTCTACGTCAAAGAGTCCTACGAGTCCCGCCAGCACAGCCTGAGCATCGCAGGCAACGGGGGCTCCCCGGAGCTCCTCCGCCTCTCAGACCCCCCCGGCAAAGAGGGGACGAGCCCACCGCCAGCTGAGCTGCAGGAGCTGGACGTCTTCCTGCCGCTGGGCTATGAGGCCTCGGACCAGGAGCTCTCTGAGGGCTTCTCCGACCACTCCATCTCCCCGAGCGGCCGCACCAAGTCCTTCCACTCCTACAACTTCAAGTCTTTCGACTCCTCCGACCGGGCCAGCCGCTCGTCCTCCAACCCCGGTGACGGTCCTCCCTTCGATGGTGTCTACCACCCGCTCTCGCCCTTCTCCACCTCACCCTTCGACCTGGGGCTCGACCTGGCCAGCACCAGCTCCATCGCCACGGCCGAGAGTGGCACACAGACCCCCGCCAGCGGCCCCGGCACCCCCTCGCCCCTGGAGAGCTTCAAGCCCTTCCCGGGGATGCGAGCACGCAAGAGCTCCAGCCTCTCAAACGTCCTGGATGAGAGCAGCTACCAGGACGCGCTGCCCAGTGACAACGTTTCCAACACCAGCAACCCCCAGGTGAGCCCCAAACCATCGTGCCCACCACCCTGGGCTACGCTGGGTATCGGATCTCTCACTCTTCCTCCCTGTTCGCAGCAAACGCCCGAGGAAGAGCTGTGCAACCTCCTGACCAACATTGTCTTCTCGGTGACCTGGCGTGGGGTGGAGGGCTGGGACGATGCAGCGTGGAGGGAACGCGGGCAGGTCTTCTCCGTCCTCACCAAGCTGGGGACAGCGTGCGAGCTGGTGCGGCCCCCTGATGAGATCAAGCGCAGGTGAGTCCTGCGCAGGTCTGGACCGAGGTCCAGGGGGTGCACCCCAAGAGAGGACCACCCTACGGAGCTGCCTGCTCTCCCGCAGCCTGCTGGAGATGATGCTGGAGTCGGCACTGACGGACCTGAAGGAGTCGGGGCCGGCCGCCCTGCCCGGTCTCACCCACAACGCCCTCAAGCTGCTGCGGCTGCTCCAGGACTTCTTGTTCTCTGAGGGACACAACAACCAGGCCCTGTGGAGCGAGAAGGTGGATGGGCACGAGCAGGGGTTCCTGGTCCCAAACCCGAGCTCTGAACCCTAGTGCTAACCCCTAGCCCCTGATGTTAGCCCTGACCCTAAACCCTGACCCTACATGCAGCCCTTGAACCTAACCTTAGAAAATAACTTGTGCCTTAATCCTAAACCATAACCCTAACCCATAGCCAGTAAATCCAACCCTAACCCCTAAACCTAACTCTAAACCTCAGCCCTAGCCCTACACCCTTGCCATAAACCCCAACTCTAACCCTAAGTCTTAACCCTAACCCCGCACCCTTGCTGTGAAGCCCAATCCTATAGCCTAGCCTAACTCCTAATCCTAACCCTTAACCCTAGCCCTACACTGTTACCATAAACGCAATCCCATACTCTAACCCTATATGCTAAGATCTGATCCTAAAACCTATCCCTAACTCATAACCCGTAAATCTAACCCTAACCCTTGCTGTAAACCCTAACAATACACTCTTGCTGTAAAACCTAACCCTAACCCCAATCCTAAACTTTAACCTTAACCCTACACCCTTACTGTAAACCCAAAACCCTAGCCCTATACCCTAAGCTCTATCCCTAAACGATAACCCTAACTCATAACCTCCTAAATCCTAATCGTAAACCTTAACCCTACATCCTTGCCATAAACAGCCTTAACCGCAAATCTATACCCTGGCCCTAATCCCAGTCCCAACCCTTAACCCTAACCCTACACCCTTACTGTAGACTGAAATCCTAACCCTATAACCTAAGCCCTAACCTTAGCTCATAGTTTATAAACCTAACCGTACCTCCCAAATCCTAAACCTTAACCCTGCACACTTGCCGTAAACTTCAACCCTAACCCCAATCCTACACCCTGGCCCTAACCCCAGTCCCAACCCTTAACCCTAACCCTACACCCTTACCATAAACCCATACCCTAAGCCCCAGCCCATAACCCTAATGCCAAACCCTGACTAGTTCGTCACTAGGGTTATGGGCTGGGGCTCTACCCTACCCCTAAACCCTAATCCTAACCCCTACCCGTAACCCAAACCCATGTCAAGCAAAGCCGAGGGTGGCTGGGTGATGGGGACAGACCTGGTGGCTTTGCGCCAAGGCTGGCTGGAGAGGTGAGGGGTGCGCGGCTGGGCGGGGGGCTCACTGTGCCCCCCCCAGATCTACGAGGGGATGAGCAGTCTGCTGGACAAGCTGGGCGTCTGGTACCACCTGGCCAACGGCACCTCCGACCTCAAGGAGATGGCCCAGACGGGTCTACGCGTCCTCGTGGGCTACATCATGCTGCAGGACCCCCAGGTGGGTCAACCCTTCCTGGGGCTCGGGGTGAGACCCCAGCCCTTGGGGCAGGGCAGGTGGCCCCATCTGATGTCCCATGTCCTCCCCCAGCTGCACTCGCTGGCGTACGTGAAGCTGCACAGCCTGCTGCAGACCGCCTCAGCCCCCAAAAAGGACGAGGCTTGCTACCTCCTGGGCAAGCTGGAGACCCCGCTGCGACGCTCGCTGGACGCCAAGTCGGAGACCTTCTCCTGGTTGGTGCCCATCGTCCGGACGCTCATGGACCAGTGCTACGAGACCCTGCAGCTGCAGCTCTTCCTGCCCTCGCTGCCCCCCACCAACGGCAGCCCCACTTTCTATGAGGACTTCCAGCTCTTCTGCACCACCCCGGAGTGGAGGGGCTTCATCGAGAAACACGTGCGTGCCGTGGGGCCACGGGGTGGCGTCGCTGTTGGGGGAACACATTTCCAGGCTTAGAGATGGGTCCGTGCTGCAGCGGGGTCCCCGTGTCACAACCGGGTTGGGACAGCCTGCAAGGGTGACCTCTAGGGCAGGGATGCTCATAGTCTGGATGATGGCTGGTGGGTGCCAAGCCCTGCCAACACCTCCCCTGTTGTCCCGGTTCTCTCGGTAGGTGCAGCCCACCATGGCCCAGTTTGAGATGGACACCTTCGCCAAGAGCCACGACCACATGTCCAATTTCTGGAACGCCTGCTACGACGCCATGATGAGCAGCTCCCAGCGGCGGGAGCAAGAGAAGGCGGCCAGCCGCAAGATGTTCCAGGTACTGCCTGCTCCTTGCCCCTGGGATGTCACCCTGGGGATGTGCTTCTCATCCTGGGGACGTGGTCCTCACCCCGAGGATGTCATCTAAGGGATGTGCTCCTCACTCTGGGGATGTCATCCTAGGGATGTGCTCCTCTCCCTGGGGATATTAATCCTGGGGATGTGCTCCTCATCCCAAGGATGTCACCCTGGGGACATCCTCCTCACCCTGGGGACACGGTCCTCGGGATGTGCTCGTCAACCCAGGGAATGTTGTTTCAGGGATGTGCTCCTCACCCTGGGTACGTGTTCCTCACCCTGGGTACGTGCTCTTCACCCCAGGGACATCATCCAGGGGTCATGGTGATGTGCTCCTCACCCCAAGGATGCCATGCCGGGGATATGCTCCTCACTCTGGGGATGTCATCCTGGAGATGTGCTCCTCACCCCAGGGACGTGCTCCTCACCCTGGGGACATTAATCCTGGGGATGTGCCCTTCATCCTGGGGATGTCATTCTGGGGAGATCCTCCTCACTCTGGGGACATCGTCCTCAGGATGTGCTCCTTATCCTGGGGACATCGTTCTGGGGACATGCTCCTCATCCCAGGGACAACACCCAGGGACATCATCCTGGGGATGTGCTCCTCACCCCAAGGACATCACCCTGGGGACGTGCTCCTCGCTCTGGGGATGTCATCTTAGGGACATGCTCCTCGCCCCAGGGTCATGCTCCTCACCCTGGGGACATTAATCCTGGGAATGTGCTCTTCATCCCAGGGATGCCATCCTGGGCACATGCTCCTTACCACATCACCCTGGGACGTGCTCCTCGCTCTGGGGATGTCATCTTAGGGACATGCTCCTCGCCCCAGGGTCATGCTCCTCACCCTGGGGACATTAATCCTGGGAATGTGCTCTTCATCCCAGGGATGCCATCCTGGGCACATGCTCCTTACCCTGACGACATTGCCCTCAGGAAACGCTCCTCATCCTGGGGACATTGTTCTGGGGATGTGTTCCTCATCCCAGGAACTTCATCCTGGGAATGTGCTCATCATCCTGGGGACATCATCCCGGGGATGTGCTCCTCATCCCAAGTCCGTCATCCTGGGGACATTCTCCTTGCCCTGGGGACATCACCCCATGGACATGCTCCTCACCTCGGGGATGTCCCCAAGCCCCAGCCCTGCTGTCACTTCACTCTCCTCCTCCTTCGGCAGGAGCTGGTGCTGGAGCCGGTGGCAAAGCGCTCCAAGGCGGAAAATGTCCGTCACGCCAACGTGCTCAAGCAGGCCAACAACCACCACAGCACCGTGCTGAAGCAGTGGCGGGGTCTGTGCCGCCTCCTCACCTCACCCCGCTCCGCCTGGGCTGACCGGTGAGCCCCCACCTCGGTCCCTGGGGAGGGGTAGCACGTCTGGGGTTCCCCAGGGTGCCTCACCCCCGCCTGCCCCCCAGGAACCCACCAGAAGTTCGCTGGAAGCTGTCGAGCGCCGAGACCTACTCCCGGATGAGGCTGAAGCTGGTGCCCAACCTGAATTTTGACCAGCACTTGGAGGCCAGTGCCCTACGGGACAACCTGGGTGAGGCTGATGGGAGTGGGGCAACCAGGGCTTCCCCCCATGCCGTGGGCAAGGGCGTGCTACCGGTTGGATTCATGTGGTGGGGTTGAACTGGGAGCTGTCATGGACCCCCTTGGGGTTGGGAGGTGGGATGAGGAACCCTTGCAGGACTCGTCCCCCAGCCGTGGGTGGCTGGGGGTGTCTGCTGACCCCCTTCTCGTTTCAGGAGCCGACCACCTCCACAGCCCCGCCGAGTCCCTCCCGCTTGCCATGGCCAAGGAAGCCAAGGTGAGCGAGCTGGAGGATGACCAGCTGGCTGAGGAGGACCTCCCTGTCCTGGACAACCAGTGAGTGTCCCCATCCCCTGCTGTGGCGCTGGCTCGCCCAGGCTGGGGGTGTCACCAGGGTCTCCTCACCCCCGATGTCACCCAGGGCTGAGCCCAAGGAGCAGAACCAGCGGGAGAAGCTGGTGGTCTCGGAGGACTGCGAGCTCATCACGACAGTGGCCGTTGTCCCCGGCCGCCTGGAGGTGACGACACAGCACGTCTACTTCTACGACGGCAGCAGCGAGAAGGAGGAGACAGAGGGAGGTAACGGCACATGCTCCTTGGGGGGGTCCCTGCAGCAAGGTGGGTTGAGGAACCCCCCACCCATCCCATCTCCTCCAGAAGCCCATCACGCCAGGTGCTGGCCATTTTGGGGGTGGGCTTCTCCCAGCCCCAGGGCGATGCTGGCCTCCATCCCTGCCTCGGGAATTGGGGTCCGGGTGGACAGTGATGCCCGCCGGGCTCTGTGCCCCCCCTGTCTTGGCAGGGATCGGCTACGACTTCAAACGCCCCTTGTCCCACCTGCGCGAGGTCCACCTGCGCCGCTACAACCTGCGCCGCTCCGCACTCGAGCTCTTCTTCATCGACCAGGCCAACTACTTCCTCAACTTCAAAAAAAAGGTGGTGGCACCCTTTCCCCCCACCAAACCCCTCCCGGGGCTGCGGCACTGCCCAGTCTCTGGCCGCTCCACGTCCTACCCGCGTCCCCCCAGGTGAGAAACAAGGTGTACTCCTGCATCCTCGGCCTGCGTCCCCCCAACCAGATATACTTCGGCAGCCGGTCGCCCCAGGAGCTGCTGAAAGCCTCAGGGCTCACCCAGGTACCGGCCCCACCTTGCCCACCCCTGCCCCGTATCTCTCCTTCCCAGATGGCAAAGAGAAGGGTGCCAGCGTGGGATGGGGATGCCCATGGGACCAGGGATGGACGTGGGTTGGAGATGACCATGGGACCAGGGATGGCTGTGGGATGGGGATGGCCATGGGACCTGGGACGGTTGTGGGGCCAGGGGCGACCAGGGACGGCCATGGGACCAGGGATGGCCGTGGGACCAGGGACGGCCGTGGGACCAGGGATGGCCGTGGGACCAGGGACGGCCATGGGGTGGGGATGGCCACAGGACCAGGGATGGCTGTGGGATGAGGTTGGTCATGAGACCAGGGACGGCCATGGGATGGGGATGGCCATGGGACCAGGGATGGCCATGGCACCAGAGACAGCCAGGGGACCAGGGATGGCCATGGGACCAGGGATGGCTGTGGGACAGGGACGGCCATGGGGTGGGGGTGTCTGCCCCCTCTCCTGCCCCCCCCAGCCCATCTCAACTGCCCTCCCTTCACTCCAGAAATGGGTCCTGCGGGAGATCTCCAACTTTGAGTACCTCATGCAGCTGAACACGATCGCAGGGCGCACCTACAACGACCTCTCCCAGTACCCCGTGGTGAGCCCCCCGTGTGCGTCCCCGTCCCCCCAGCAAGCCCGGACCCCCTCAGTCTCACCCACCTCCCGACCCCACCCAGTTCCCCTGGATCCTGCGGGATTACGTCTCGGAGACCCTCGACCTCACCGACCCGTCCGTGTTTCGGGACCTGTCCAAGCCCATCGGGGTGGCCAACGAGCGGCACGCACGGGACGTGAAGGAAAAGTGAGTGTCCCCAAAAAAGGGGGTATGGGGGACATGGGGACCGCCTGGCCGGCTCCCGCTGGACCCCCCCACCTCACCCCCCAGGTACGAGAGCTTCGAGGACCCCACGGGCACCGTGGACAAGTTCCACTACGGCACGCACTACTCCAACGCGGCAGGCGTCATGCACTACCTGATCCGCACCGAGCCCTTCACCACCCTCCACATCCAGCTGCAGAGCGGCAGGTGGGCGCCCAGTGCGGGGACCCTGGGGAGGGGACATGGGGGGGGACGACAAGCGGGCTCCAACCGGGTGTCCTGTGCCACCAGGTTCGACTGCTCAGACCGGCAGTTCCATTCGGTGCCGGCAGCGTGGCAAGCCCGCATGGAGAACCCCGTGGACGTCAAGGAGCTCATCCCCGAGTTCTTCTACTTCCCCGAGTTCCTGGAGAACCAGAATGGTAAGGGGCACCCATCATCCCCACCATGGAGACAGCACCCATGGGAGCACGGTGGGGGTCGGTGTCCCTCACCCCCTGCCCGCCCTGCCTGCAGGCTTCGACCTGGGCTGCCTGCAGCTCTCCAACGAGAAGGTGGGCGACGTGGTGCTGCCCCGGTGGGCGCACTCCCGCGAGGACTTCATCTACCAGCACCGCAAAGCCTTGGTGAGATGATGGAGCCCATCCCAATCCCTCCTCCGCTCCCACCCCTGGGGGGGGGGAGGGTCGTTACGGGGTGTGGCAGGCATTTCTGGCCCTCCCTGATGCCCCATCCTTGGACAGGAGTCGGAGTACGTCTCAGCCCACCTCCACGAGTGGATCGACCTCATTTTTGGGTACAAGCAACGAGGCCCGGCTGCCGTGGAGGCCCTCAACGTCTTCTACTACTGCACCTACGAGGGTGAGCCATGGGGCAGGGAGGTGGGGGGGCACCACCTGCCAGGTGGCCCCCCATGACCAACCCTATCCCCAGGGGCCGTGGACCTGGACGCCATCGCTGACGAGACGCAGAGGAAGGCTCTGGAGGGCATCATCAGCAACTTTGGGCAGACGCCCTGCCAGCTGCTCAAGGTAGCTCATACCCCACCCACCCCACCCCCCAAAAAAATAGCCCCTTTCAGGGGGTCACCCCCCTTCTCATGGGTTCCCTCGCCCCCCCCCCCCCCCCCCCCCCCCCCCCCCCACCC